AACATCATTTAATATTTTAAATGTTAATTATTGTAATATTTTAATATTTAATAAGAATTTATTGTGATTAGACGGACAAGATTTAATATATACTTATTATATCACAATATGACGCAACTTTACCATCTTATAAAGCAGTCATGTTAAATGACATATCTGTAACTCAGAAATCGGTGTTAATCTTGGTAAATTCGAGTGATTATCTTTCACTTCATATTTCATTTCTACAGCATCTTGCTTACTTATCTTTTCTCAGTGAAGAACGTAACTCCGGGTAAAGAGCTTTCAGAACAGCCGTTCCATCATCCAGTCCCGTTTAGGCCAACTAAGGGAGTCCACGCTACAAGCTGTGTAGTCATATTTACAATCTGCATTCAAAATTTACAATGTCTGGCTCCATGGTACATTATAATATCATTGCCAATAAAGTGAACGCTTAATACAGATTTCATGTCATAGAAATGGCCTTAACTAGACTTGTATATCTTTCAAAAATCAATTACCACACAAAATTCCAGGACAGCCTACAAACTGACGCCATAGTTCTCGTTTAGTTATTGTTGTTGCCATGTTGGTACCACTGATAGCAAAATATTGAAAAAATACGTGACCCGACAAGTGGAGACGTTTTCAAGATCATGGGTGCACATGGGACAGTGTTATTCTTGCAAGATGGCGCCACAACACGCACTGCACGAATGAGTATGGTAAAGATGTCTGAAATGTTTCTTTGTCATCTAATCTCACGGTTTGATGATATAAAACTGGCCGCCGAGATTTCCTGACTTCCAAACTCCCTATTACTTTTCGTGGAGTGTGCAGAGTCGCGTGTTGTAAGCGCCTCTCCATTAGTGCAGGGGAAGGGGGGAATTTCCTTGAAATCTGTCAGAAGACATTACACACGCCATGCTCGATTTTCAAGATACGTGCTGTTTGTTGTATCACTTTATATTATTTGCTCAGTGTAACAGAATATATTCATAAATAAAAATAGTCTTCTCTGCCGCTTTCTGTATAAAGATTAGGTTGTCACCAGTGGGAAGACATTCATGTCTGGATTTATAAAAAATGTGTCAGTCGTATCAAAGCCATTAGGAGCGTAGGCAGACGGACACGATGACACCATGAACCTACTCTTCCTTGTAAAACAAGGAAGTCAAGTAAAATAATGTCGATTACATGTTTGAAAGGAAAAGGCGTTTGTGAGGAACGAGGAGCAATGAACATTTAAGTTAAGTTAAATTTAAGTTTCTCGCGGAGACGAGAATGAAGGTGTGTCATCATGGACGTTGCGGAGTGTAATATCGTAGAAATCGATCATCACCCTGAAGATGGAAGCAGTAAACCCCTTTGAAACGTTGGTAAATTTCTTCGAGACAATACGCCAAAATAACCCGGAAGACTGAAATTAATGCCATGTCAAAGGCAATTTCAGTAATTTCTTCAGGCACACTAAAAAACTATTAAGCAATTATGTCCTTGGCAAACCACCTGCCCACATATTTATGTCGGGGATTTTGTGTATCCAGTAATGATAATGACGAAGTTGTTTCGCAGACGGTCCCACTTTGCCGTGTGTCTGTCCGTCTCCTTTGAGTCAAGGCGCCTGCCTAGTCTAGACGTCTAGAGCTACCCCCCCCACCCCATATCCACCTCTAAGCACAGAACATTCCCTCATTCGTCAACCCCTAGCATCAATAGAAATAGGATCCACTGTATATATCTTAAAGGTCTCTAGAAACATGAAAGATTGTTGTGTGTCCGTATTTGAGGCAAACCCATACATCTTCCATCTGGAGCAGTAAATCAAAATCCATCCGCGTGCACATTTCTTGCATCTGAGTCAGAATTTTCTTCGCGGCTATAAAACAGACGTGTTGAAACTTCGAACTTGTGACCGTCATGATGACACGCTTCGCCAAGTTCTAGATTTATTATTTCCATAAATTTTACAACATACGTAATCCCGTAAGATTTCAAGTTCTCACGGCCGCGAGTATTAAGAAGACTGTCTTCTTGGTTGTTACGCTGTGTAGTCTGGTAGAAAGTCTGCTGACGTTTCATAGGTGTCAATCACCCTGATGATGGATGCAGTAAGCGCCTCTGAAACGTCGGTAAACTTCTAACTGACTACATGGCGCAACGACTCCGAAACACCTATTTAAACATGATATAAAACGTTTCACGGGCATGTCAGGGAAATTGCTTTAA